TTAGATTATTAAATAATCAAAAATATCGTGGTAAAATCCCGTGTTGGGGGTTTCAAGCGTTGATTAACGAAATGAAAATATTTAATCATTTTAAAAAAGAAGCCACTAAAAATTAAACTCAACAAGATCCCCTCCGGCAAGCAGAAAATTTTTCAATTTTTGGAAAAGCTTTTTTGCGATGATAAAAAGTAAATGACTTTTCATTTATGGACAGTTGGGGGGTTTTTCAGGTAATTAAAAATTTGTAATTAAAATTTCATGCCTCCAGATTTTATTCAGTTATTCTTCACAATTTTCGAGGATATGATAGCCATATTATAGTAGAAGCTTTTGGTGATCCTGAGATAAAGCTCATCTAAAACTCGATAACGTCATCAAATGCATCCCAAATAATTTTGAAAAGTACATGTCAGTTACGCTAGGTAAATTACGTTTTATTGACAGCCTGCAGTTTATGGCAGCCTCGTTAGATGAGTTAGTGAAAGGTTGTAGTAAATTTGATAACCTAAGAGACTGTTTTGGAGTCAAATTTAATCTACTAGCTAAAAAAGGAGTTTTTCCATACGAATACCTCGACGATTGGAGTAAATTTGATGAAATATCTTTACCTGACAAAGACAAATTTTACTCACAACTTAAAAATGAAAATATAACTGATGACGAGTACAGGTATGCACAAGATATCTGGAAAGAGTTTGATTGTGAGACTTTTGGTGATTATCATGATTTATACCTGAAAACTGACGTGTTATTATTAGCAGATGTTTTTGAAAGTTTTCGTGAAGTGAGTTATAATAATTATGGACTAGATCCTTGCTGGTATTATTCTGCCCCTGGGTTGTCATGGGATGCTTTGCTAAAGTTTAGTAAGGTAAGGTTAGAATTACTGACTGATGTTGATATGTTCAATTTTATTGAAAAAGGTATCCGAGGTGGTATTAGCGTGATAACAAAAAAATATGCTGAAGCAAACAACAAATACCTGAAACAGTATAACCCTGACCTTCCTTCGAAGTATATAATTTATCTAGATTGTAATAATCTTTACGGTGGTTCGATGGCAGAACCAATGCCTTTTAGCGGATTTCATTGGATCACGGTTGATCGATTTCTATCAGAGACAGAAAAAAAGATACCCGACGATGTTTCCTATTTCGTTGAAGTTGATCTTGATTATCCAAATTCGCTACACAAATTACATAACGATTACCCTTTCTGTGCGGAATCGATGGTTATAGATTATAGTTTGTTATCAAAAGAACAACAAGCGTTAGCATCACCAAGGCAACATTCCATGGTCAAGAAACTAGTACCAAATTTACTTGATAAGAAAAATTATGTTTTGCATTACAAAGTTTTCAAACAAGCAGTCGATGCTGGTCTTGTGTTGAGAAAAGTTCATCGTGTACTAAAATTTAATCAGTCGCCGTGGATGAGAGGTTATATTAACTCCAACACTTCAAGAAGAGCTGCAGCGAAAACAGAGTTTGAGAAAAACTTTTTTAAACTGATGAACAATTCCGTTTTTGGTAAGACGATGGAGAATATTAGGAAACGGGTAAATATTGAAATAGTTAATGATGTCAATCGCAGAAACAAACTTGTGTCAGACGATGATTTTGTGAGCATGAAAATATTTAATGAAAATCTTGTTGCGATACAAAGAAGAAAAACAAATCTAAAACTAAACAAGCCGATCTATGTTGGAGCTGCAGTGTTAGATTTATCAAAGTGGATGATGTACGATTTTCATTACACTTTTGTTAAAAATCAGTGGCCGGCTAGTAGATTATTGTTTACTGATACTGATTCACTCGTGTATGAAATTGAATGTGAGGACATCTATCAGGACATGTACAATAATCGACATCTGTTTGATCTTTCCGATTATCCACGTGACAGTAAATTTCATGACGACACAAATAAAAAGGTTATTGGTAAGTTTAAAGATGAAATGAACTCGAGCGCTATCAAATACTTTATCGGATTACGTAGTAAAATGTATGCCGTATTGTTAGATAATAATAAAATAACGAAAAAAGCCAAAGGTCTGCCTCGTAATTTTGTTAAAAAGTTTATGAAATTTGATGACTACAGGTATGCGCTTGATGGTGGTGTTAGTTTTATGAGAGCTATGGCAATTCGAACTAATCATCATAAACTCGAAACAGATGTCATTATCAAACGTGGATTGTATAATTTTGATGACAAACGCTATTGTGAAAATGGGGTAGATACATTTGCCCTTGGGTATTGTTATGATGATAGATCTATACTCAACATTATCTTTTCCAACTGAAATTTTATCTAAACTTATAAAATAATGCTTGAAAATTTGACAATGACAAATAGCTACAATAGTAACATCAAATATCTAATGATGGACGGTAAACAATTGACAGTTGAATTTAATAATGAAACATCAGGTATATGTTTTAATGGAACATGTGACAAGTTAAAACTTTCGCTCATCAGATCTGATAACAGCATGTATTTCAATTATCTCGAACAATTGTATCAAAAGTTGCTAGCGGAATTTAAAAACTTTCACAGCCCCATTAGCCAACAAAACTATACTAAACTCACAATTGATCTCGATCGGTCAAAGGTATATTTTATCAACAAAAAATATCCTCTGAACAAACCAGAAATGAAAGATCTGTTTGAGTCCCGTCGCTGTGTGAGTGGTAAAGTAAAATTTAGTATCTATAGTCGTGATAGTGAAATATTTTTAATATCAACAGTTGAAACATTAATCATTGGTAACGAGATATAAAATAATATCATTTTCATTCTAATGCTAGTTTAATTTCCACCTTGTTAACTGAAACGTTCTAACACACAGTTTAATTTTCATCCTGTTATCTTGTGGTAAAACCCGTTTGCCGTCTTTAGAATAATTGTATTCCACACATGCGCTGTTCTAACAAATTAGTCACCTCTGTGTAAAGAGCTTATCACATTCCAACACCTGTTGTTTTGTTTGGTTACAAAATACCTGTTTACAAAGTAGTAGTAGGGGGAAAAAAAGAGGTGGGGGAGGGTGAGTCAAAACCCTGTTTTATTTTGGAAAAAAAGGGGGTGGGGTGGAAGATAATTTAGGACTATAATTTATACTTGTTTGGAGGGTAAAAAAACAAAGTGAGTTGAAAACCTGGTTTTCCTATACTACTGACGATACTATGTCCATTTTACCTGGACGATGGGCAACCTGGAAGTTTCTCCTATATGCGGCCACCAAAATTGGCCATTTTGAACAAGACATACTGAAATAAAATCAAATTATAAATAGACCATTTCATGGAGACTTCGGCGAACTTCGTAATTTGCTCGGAATTTTGATCACGTGGCGGGTGGTCAACTGACCGCAATATCCAATCGATAGATGGTAGGCAAATAGGCTGGTCCCCTGCTTAGTATGCTCCCTAGTATAGTATAGCGAAATCCATCGCAGGGAGTATACTAAGCAGGGTACCAGACAAGTATGGAAACGGTGTCGAGGTTAAAAATTTAATCCCTTTTTTACCATAACACCGTATATCATAAATCGAGTTTCGTTTACCAATAAAAGGAATTTTTCGTATTAATCCGCAGTATAACAAACCTGGATTATTTTTCGACGGCAAAACTGCAGAATTGCCATGCATTTAGCGGGCAGGTAGCGGGGATTTCTTAATTTGTTTTAATCTGATACGTCTAAACAACAATGTATGCCATTTTGTTATGTACAGATGTCTACCAGCCTTTGATTGGCTGGAGTATAAAGTGACTCGGGAGGTTTTTCGGATAATTACGGAGCAACTCGGTTAAATCCGGTATGAAATGGGCTATTACAGATATAGATACTAACAGAAGCCTGATTTTGCGTTCTGCTTATGTTGTTTTTTTTAGCAGTATCTTGAGACTGAAAGAATTTTTTTCGAATTCCAAACGATATAAACTTAACGGTAAATCTGCCAGGATACCAAATATATGGCTGCTTTTGACGTCATTTGGGAACTATTTATTTCTACCGCGGGTCACATGGGCACGTATCATTCCTTACAATTTACGTGTACTTTATATGCTACTACTCGACGTGGCCATGATCGCACCAGCGTAATATTCAAGAACAACGCGCTGAATGGAATACTCCCTTCTCATTGACCAACTGAAAATAAGTTATAAACAAATGCAGGACGTCGTTTTAACCAATGAGAGGACAGTATTCCATTCAGCGGGATTACATTTGCATATTAATCGCGTCGATCAATAGCGTGGGAAAATGGCTTGGCATTCTTTTAAGGTATGATAGTAAGCCAAACTTCGGATACACATATTAAGGCGAATGCCTGAGTTTAACATCGTTACCAAATTTATTACGCTAAGCGAAACGTAGCTTGAAATATCGGCGCTTATTATTAAATGGCTCGCCCGAGAAAGGATAGAAGTGTTATTCCTTGTAGATATTATATAATACATGTTTGAAACGTAAATTGCAAGCAATTGATACGAGTCCCAGTGCCGCGGGTGAAGAAGTATAGCACTGTACAAATTTCAGCTACAACGATTTGGATCAAATGACCGTTGTCCATCAAAATGCATGTAAATATGGAAATGGACCTAGGTGGAATTCATTTCGGTTGCACTCACTTGTACTTGTGGTCGACATCGTGAAGGAGGAATATCGAATGAGTTTGATCTACTACAAGTTATCTCGAAATTGTCCTACACCGTCTGATATATTTGGACTGGTATGGTGGAACACTGGAACAAGTTGGAAAAGTGGAATAGTTCTGTTCGAACATGCCTGTTCATATGTATAATACGGCGTAGTGAAAGGTTAGAGGAAACTCCGACTAAGGTCGAACGAACGCTCGGGAGCGGTCTGCACTAAATTCATATGGCAAACAACTAAATCTAATTTGTATATTTGTATATCCCACCATCTCTCTCTCTCTCTCTCTCTCTCTCTCTCTCTCTCTCTCTCTCTCTCTCGCTCTCTCTCTCTCTCTCCGCACTGCTGGTTGCTTAGTGGTTAGAGCGTTCGCCTTGGATGTGGGAGATCGCGGCTTGGAACACCGGCCCAATCATAGAAAAGAGTTCTAAAAATTTTACTTACAGTTGCCTCTTTATGCGCTAAAGGATCCAACAAAAGTAGATATTACTACAACAATGAATATTTCTACAACAATGAATATTTCTACAACAATATTACTACAACAATAAATATTACTACAACAATGAATATTACTACAACAATATTATTACAACAATAAATATTTCTACAATAATGAATATTTCTACAACAATATTACTACAACAATAAATATTACTACAACAATGAATATTACTACAACAATATTATTACAACAATAAATATTTCTACAATAATGAATATTTCTACAACAATATTACTACAACAATAAATATTTCTACAACAATGAATATTTCTACAACAATGAATATTACTACAACAATAAATATTTCTACAACAATGAATATTTCTACAATAATAAATATTTCTACAACAATGAATATTACTGTAGCAATATTACTACAACAATATTACTACAACAATGAATATTTCTACAACAAAGAATATTACTACAACAATAAATATTTCTACAACAATGAATATTTCTACAACAATGAATATTTCTACAACAATGAATATTACTACAACAATATTACTACAACAATGAATATTACTACAACAATATTTCTACAACAATAAATATTTCTACAACAATGAATATTTCTACAACAATAAATATTTCTACAACAATGAATATTTCTACAACAATTAATATTTCTACAACAATGAATATTACTACAACAATATTACTACAACAATAAATATTTCTACAACAATGAATATTTCTACAACAATATTACTACAACAATAAATATTTCTACAACAATGAATATTTCTACAACAATGAATATTACTACAACAATAAATATTACTACAACAATGAATATTACTACAACAATAAATATTTCTAAAACAATGAATATTTCTAGAACAATATTACTACAACAATAAATATTTCTACAACAATGAATATTTCTACAACAATATTACTACAACAATAAATATTACTACAACAATGAATATTACTACAACAATATTACTACAACAATAAATATTTCTACAACAATGAATATTTCTACAACAATATTACTACAACAATAAATATTACTACAACAATGAATATTACTACAACAATATTACTACAACAATGAATATTTCTACAACAATGAATATTACTACAACAATAAATATTTCTACAACAATGAATATTTCTACAACAATGAATATTTCTACAACAATATTACAACAATATTACTACAACAATGAATATTTCTACAACAATGAATATTACTACAACAATATTACTACAACAATATTACTACAACAATGAATATTTCTACAACAATGAATATTTCTACAACAATGAATATTACTACAACAATATTACTACAACTATAAATATTACTGTAACAGCTCAAGACTAACATTAACGTAAAATAATATTTTTCTCGATCAGAAGCAAGGTATGATAACGTTTCTCCCATCGGTTTATTGCTTGACCCCCCTCTCTCTCTCTCAGTGTACACACACACACACACACACACACACACACACACACAATACGTGTTTAGTTTTTCATCGACAAGTATCATGTTTACAAGCTTGTTTGTGGCGCTTTCATTACACATCTGTTGCCAAAGTTCAATAATATGCTATTTTATATAATATTTGAAATAAGTAAAGGTGGCGCTCTACAGATTTTTAGTTTGTATAGGGTTAATAGTTTAAGAAAAGGAAATTGCCAGGTTTTTCTCACTGGTTATCCTACTGATTTAAAACGATCTTGTATGTTTGAAGTATTTTAAAGTGTACATATTCGCCATACTTACGATGTGCATCTATCAGAAAACTGATTGCACCGCATGGTTATTTCAGCTTTTGGACTTCAAAGGCAAGCTTAAAAGAAGCAACTAGTCGATAACCTTTTCGACTACTATACATTGTGTAACTCTTTGATTGCAAAATCAGTATTGTCTATTTCCTTATATAAATAACAGCTCAAGAGAGTGTACTTTAAACAAGTTAAGGATAATTTTTAGAGCACATGGGGGCAGCCATTTTGATCAACCGTGTGCAGGATTTCTACAATTAAAATAATGTCATCGACAGTACATAAAAGTCGTAAAGAGGTATTCCAACATTGTCTCCACTGCGCATGTTGAAAATGCAAGCAACTTCACCTTTCCGCGCTCGCTTTATCGGAAGTACATAATATCTGTAAAGCGCCGCCACATAATCTTTAATCAAGAAACTGGTTGTTGGGGTAGAATGGAACTGCAGGGCAGCTCAGACTGTTTTATCAGCTCTTTTATTTCCGTCCATACCAATTTGCAGAATACTTTTTCCAGGCTGTATGAGCAAATGATATTTCTGTAAGATTTTGGATATTGACGGGTCTTCATTTGTTTGTGTTCTGCGATGCTTTCATTGTGAAAAGGGATTAAATTTTTTTTTGGGTAGGTTTCAGTGTTGTTTAAAGATACTAGTTGGGTGGAAATTTCAAATGTATAAATGGTAGCTTTATCCGGTAACCTGCTTCTTGGCTCCATCGTTCGAACTGTATATTTAAAGCAATTTATAAACACGATTGGAGATAAGGATTTAATTGAATTTACCCTGAAAACGGGAGAATTTGTTGAGGATTAACTACATTTGCAATGGTAGAGAGAGAGAGAGAGAGAGAGAGAGAGAGAGAGAGAGAGAGAGAGAGAGAGAGAGAGAGAGAGAGAGAGAGAGAGAGAGAGAGATATTTTGTACCAGAAAGTTATGGATCTTCAAGGTGATTTCACACCTAATACGTGCACAGGTTAACCACATCGCATACACTTTACAGTCTTCAAAAGATTTCAACACTACCCTATGTACAATGAACTAATTGCGACTTTATAATTTAAGTAAACAGGATCTAATAGATGCACTATATGTGTTGACAATATATTGGAAAGCACAAGCTTCGTTGTTGAAGTATATTTTCCTTTAGAAAGTAAGCCGTTTTATTACATTGCCAGTCAATCGTTGGCAGCTCTTTTCATGGCTCGTCGGAGTAAGATGTAAATATGTTGTTATTGGCAACAGGCTTGGCATCTTGTGAAACGGATCTGTTTTAACTCGACATTTACACGAGTACCAGTGTTGTTTTAGCAATTTAGCAAATAGGAGAGAGAGAGAGAGAGAGAGAGAGAGAGAGAGAGAGAGAGAGAGAGAGAGAGAGAGAGAGAGAGAGAGAGAGAGAGAGGACGCTGCTATTTTTTTTGCAGACATGGTTTACAGTATGTCAGTAATATAGATGCATGAGAATTACATCTTTGCAAAATAGCACATGAATGAATGACAGTGGTTTTAATGAGATCGAGATGAGAGAGAGAGAGAGGACTGTTAATTTTGTGCAGATGTTTTAAATTATCTCAATAATATAGTTAGTTGTATGAAAGTTATATCCTGAAAAGTAGCACATGAATGAATAAGTTATTTTAAGTACATCTAGTTTATAATTTTCAGGAGAGAGAGGGAGGGAGGGAGGGGATTGTATACCAGCATTCATTTGATATTGTCTTACATCCATCAATACTCTAATTGGGCAAACAGATTCTTTTGCGTGCAGTCTCCAAAAATCAAGAGTATTTTTGCTTGTCTGGTTTTTCCTGGAAAGTTGCCAATCAATGAAAAATATTACTTAACATTAGGTAATAATAAGCATTAAATCGCAAACAGAAAATGCAATGTGTATTACGTGCAACCTTTTGTTTTTTGCGTATGATGGCAAATAAAGTGGCGTGTTTCTGTCGGTTCCAGAAGAGCACTTTTATAAATTCCGATAGTGACCTTGGAACACAATTACATGTATTTCCATAAAAGACAACCAGTGATGATTGTTGAATATGTGGTGTTTAGGTGTTAAGGTTAGTGCTTAACATAAGTATGGTCACCGTGAATCTCGACAGAAAACTAATGCACATAATGTCATAAAAGTGAAACAAAATGAAAAATAACGAAGATTGTGCTTTCCGAACAAAATTAAAAAACAAATAGACACGAAACAAAGTTCGTGTAGGGAAACAGTATATATTTTGACGGTTCGCATGCACTTGCACATACGTTATGCATGCACAGATGTTTAACTGGTATCAGTGTTTTCCAAGATTATACAAAAACAGCTCACCACCATTCCTAGTTTTCTTGTACTGTTATTTACAATTTGTTTGTTTTAAAAGGAGGAATGTGTGTTTATTGGATTAAGCTTGAGCCTTTCATGTGACTATGTATGTATGTATGTATGTATGTATGTATGTATGTATGTATGTATGTATGTATGTATGTATGTATGTATGTATGTATGTATGTATGTATGTATGTATGTATGTCTGTCTTTCTGTCTGTCTATCTGTCTGTATGTCTGTATGTATGTATGTATGTATGTATGTATGTATGTATGTATGTATGTACGTACCTACGTACGTTTATATATATATATATATATATATATATATATATATATATATATATATATATATATATATATATATATATATATATATATATATATATATATATGGATGCATGCAAGTATATATATGTGTGTATACATATATGTATATATGTGCGTGCGTGCGTGCGTTCATACATGTATTTTTGCACCATAGCTGTTATTGTCTGTATGAGAGAGAGGTATGTGATTTTGCATGACTGCTAGTTTTAGAAAAAAAATATATGTGACTTTCAACGACTTTCATAAATTTAATTTGTAGTGTCGTAAAACAAACTTTTGTTTAACAAAATCGCAAAATGTAATACAATGGCTTTTCAGTGCATGCAGATGTCTTCGCCTTATCAATCAGATAATGGTGAACTTTTGGCGGACCAACATCAGGAGGATTTGCAAAGAATCTGTTCATATGAAACGATAATATTGAAAATAATACTCGATCATGTTGCAACCATAAACGAAATGTATGATTCTAATCACTTTTCATGTCGAATCGGTAACTTGTAAATGAAA